GTGGCAAATCATTTCCAAAATCTTGCCAAGGAAACTGCAGGGACTTGTCCAGGCAATCATCAGGAGTTAAAAAACTGACCTGAAAGCAATAAGGCAGCAGCAGCAGCAACGATGATGATGTATCAGTGTATATAATTATGACCTTTGCATAATACTTTTTCTTTCTGCTCCATTTTTTTCTAGTGAAGTAAACAAAAGGGAACATGAGTTTTTAACAGATTTTTGTACTAAACAGGAGATGGACAAACCTGCATCTTCATGTCAAACAGGTAAGGGTGCTGTATAATGTGTATAATGAGAAGTGTGGTAGAAATTGGTGAGTTAACAGATCAGTAGAGTTTTGCAATCAGAAACTTCAAAAGTTGTGGGGACTTAGAGGCAATTTGCTGAGTATATGTCTGTAACAGTGAGACAGGATGGCCCACTGATAAAGAGAAGCAGCAAGATACAAGAGAAACTGCATCCTAGGGCAAAGCTTATATTTTGTAACTTAATTCCTCATGCTCATGAAATAATCAGAGAGTACTGACTCTGTGAAATAATTTTTAAAATGTTATTGGGCTACACTAATTTAAAAAGAACATATAAATATGCACAACAATATTAATTAAACAATATAACTTAAGTTCATCATCATAAAAATAAGGGGCCTCAACAATTATGTGAAATCGTATCCATGAACATAACAGAGCCATGATTCTGTGCACTTATTGAAGTTCAACTCCAAATGATTCCTACTAATATTGTGTCTGCCCAAAACGTCAAGTCTTTCTGACAGTAAGACAATAGAGTATGTTAAAACATACAGGACATTGTATTTCCTGATTGGCAAACCGTACATTATTAAATTTCTCTGCTCAGAGTTTAACATTACTCTCATATTTTTATAGTGACTTCTCCAAGATCACTTCTACCTTATCAAAATTACAAAACTCAGACTGGGTAAACTTAGATGAGTGGATAATCAGTCCCAAATTTTCAGAAGACAGTGGCTAGTTTGACTAAAAACAATCATCCTGAGAATGATTTATGGAAGTTATGGCTTTGTGCCATGGATAACCAGCAGTTCTGAATGAGAATGCAGTTCTGAAATTTTGAGAGCACATTGTGGGTACTCTCACAAAGTCAACTCAAACCTTTCTTATTATGGCCATAGACCAGAGGTCAAATATAGTAAAACATACACACAAACACATCTGATTTGAAAATCAATGTCCCAGATATGCTGCCTTAGAATATTTCTGGCATTTTCAAAGCCTAATGAGTAACAGTTCTCCAACAAGAGTCCTAACCAGGCTGACTTAAAATGGTCTTAATGAACCAATGGGGCCAAACCCACTGGGAAGAAAATTAGCTTTAAGCAGAAATTAAAAAGATAATACCAAGCTCATCTGTAAACATAAAACAGTATTCTTAAAACATCTTGGGACAGTTAAAATAGCTCTAAGAAACTTAGACTGTACTACTTCAAGGATGTCAAGCTTTGTAAAAATACAGAATTGGACACCATAGAGAAGCTTAGAGATAACCTTGGCTACAAAGACTTTGCAAACTGTAAGAATGACAGGATCAACACCAACCATATAGGAAAAGTATTCTCTCCAGGACAGTGAGGCCTGGAATTTATAGGGACCCACTTGCTTAACAGAATTCCCATTAATTTAGCAATTATGGTTTTTGTAGTAGTTTCATGCAAATACAGTGGTACCTCGTTTCACGACCTTAATTCGTCCCGCGCCTCTGGTCGCACCCCGAATTGGTTGCGTCCCGAATCAAATTTTCCCATAAGGTTCAATGTAATTATGGTTATTCCGTTCTGAACCCTATGAATTTTTTTTTTAAACTACAAAAATATGACACAAAGAACAGTACGAAGGGAGGGAACGCTAACCTTGCTCAACGCAACTTCTGGCGTGGGGGACAGGAAGGCGGGGGGGGGGGCGGTTATTGCTTGGAGGGAGAGTCCCCCTTCCTACAGGAAGCCACGACCACATGTCATGGGAGGGAAAATGGCCGCGGATCCTGTTCGTCACCCGATCCGGCATTCGCGAATGGAAGCACAATTTTGCG